GGTTTTCCTTATATTGCCATTTGTGCTTTCAAATCATTGATAATACATGGACGCTGTTCTCTTAACCTTGAAGACGTCCCTTTCTGTCAGTCACCCTCATACTAATTCAAGGTCAATTTACCTCAAAATCATTCAAACCCATCAAAGATATGTACCTGTACCTGAACATGTAGGCCCTTATTATTAACATATAATTACCATCAACTCAAATATTAGATTTCTAGGGCTATTTTATTATTACATTATTTCCCATGATCAATAGCCGTCCTAAGTATTTTATGGCAGAGTCGCTTAGCTAGTCACGTAGACAAGAAGTAATGGTCTTTTTTTACTTTCTACACTCTGTAAGTTTGGCTAATATATGGGTTCGCAAGTTATGATGATCATGAAAAATAAAGCAAAGTTGGGAAACATGTAAGAATTCTACAAGGAGTTGTTCAAATAGAGGCTTGTGAATTTAATTATCATTTGTGTGTTCATTTTCATGTACACAGCTCTTAGATCAGAAGTGATGATGACCTTGAGAAGATCTATTGAATGATTGAACATGGTGCCTTTTCTTTTCCTTTTTTGGTATTGATTGTTTTATATTAGAAAGGAATTTATAAAGAGATTATGTCTATAATAATGACATAAATAGGCATTTTGTTTGTTCTTTTATTAATTATTCCCTTTGTGTTTTTTCATGAGTTTTCAAGGCTATTGTGCCAAGGTGATGATTCTGCAAGAGCATAGTTATTAGATTCTCTGGGCCACAAGCTCATTAGATCATGTCAATTAACTTGTTCCTTTGATCAGGTTTAGCTCATCAATTTTGAAAATTAATGTCATCTACTCTTTCTCAAAATGGTAAAAGTCTGATCTGTGGATTGTTCTATGAAATAAATTGTGATAAAAAAGTTTGTTTGATCTAAATTAGATGGCAGCAGCGGTTAATTATCATCCTACAATCATACCGTGAGGATATCTATTTCATGTGAAATTAATGAATTTTAACGAGGATCTTGGCTATTATTTCACTCTCATTTCACCATTATTGTAGGTAAGCACTTCCCTCTAATCCTTCAACTTTTCTATCTTAGTAGAAGCAAGATTTAAATTGATATACACTAAAACCTGTAAAGTGGACACCTCTGAAAGTGGAACACCCTCTTAGTGGAACATTTTTTATTTAGTCTTGCTACCCATTTACTAGATTTAGAATAAATCACTGTAAGTGGAAGATTTTCAAGGTGGAACACTTTTGAGGTCTCAAATGTGTTACATTCTACTGTATATTGCTGATCAGCCTATAGTCTTGATCGATCTCTCTTCTAGATAATATAAAGTTGACAAGAAAATACATTTTGATAATATAATTTGTGCTCTATTGATAGATGGCACTAAATTATTTTTGTGGTCGCAGACGAGACAATCCTCAGGTTGATCATGGCTTATTGAAAAACATTATATTCTTAATACATCAATTTCAATTGCTATTGTTTCATTTTCAATAAATGAAGACATTGATATTAAGGCAATGGTGCAAATAATAAAATAAATTGTTTCTGTTTCATAACATTCTCATAAATAATTGATCAATTTACCTACTGTTTATAATTGATCTACATGTATTTATCTAACATGATACAATTTCTTTTCAATTTATGATTGGAATTTGATTAACACTTTTATTGTTATTTTAATTAATTAACTCAGTGTGACAATGATTACTTTGTCTCTTTATGGCGAATCTTCGTTATCTTTTATGTTTGCTTTCGTGTTATTGAATTGTCAGGGGCAAGCTCTTTATTAGCAGTTTATATTATTATAGCGTGTCATGAACATGTTCTCCGCTTAAATCTCGAATGGCTCGTTAGATGAGAAAGAAAGAGAACACATGTCAGCGTGAAATTAAGATTTGATGAAATTGACATTAATAATTTATAATTTGCTTAATTAAAGTGATATTCCCATGGTTAGTTATTGGTCTGTTCTTTGATTAATTTGAAACATTTGAAGTTTTGCTTTTTATGTCATCACCAGAAAGATTTGTCATATTGTTATAGTCTCCAAATTTTTTATGGATGACGTTTGGTGGTTGATGTTTGGTGATTGGTGTTTGGTATTCAGCATCTGTAGCATATGGCAGTTGGTGACATTTTGCATGTTAATGCCTTGCGCTGATTTTAAGTTTGCCATTTTTGAGAAATAAGTACCATGTTTTAAACAAAAACAACTTTTAAAGTGACATTCATGTTTTTGTGTAACAAATGGCAGGCAATTGGCAGCTACTGCTTTTTCCAAAGTAATATAACATAACACAATATATATATATATAATTTTTTTATATATATAACTTTTTTATTGACATCTTGTATCATAACATGATTACATTAGTATAAAATGACTTCATTATTTTATTATTATTTGATGGATTAGAGCTAACAGGCAATAAATACTGTCTCTATAATCTTGCACAACATGGATTTTTATATTCATTTGGCCCATCTCTATAATCTTGCACAACATGGATTTGTATATTCATTTGCTTCATCTCCCAATCTCGCTCGTCATCTTGGATGAATTTTAATGAATAATCCCTATTCAATATAAGCCTTCAATCTTAGGGGATGAGAAGGCTACAGGATAAGATGATTGATAGACTACTTGCAGATTATATGATCCTCTGTCGGTTATGTTTTAATAATATATTTTATCTTTGCTCGTTCAGGATCTCGCTGAATGTTTATATTTATGAACTGACAGGCAAATGAAGACGAATCTCACTTTTAAGGACTTAAAAGAAAAAGCAGAATATGAACAAAGCATATCTTGCAACATCCAGATAGAGATTAAAATGTTACAAAAGCCATCTTTGAAATTCTTTGAGATACAATTTTCTGATGAAAATCTCTCTTAGAAGTGATGGTTAACAATGAATTTTGCCATGCTATAAAAATTAATCTCGTATAAGATCCTAGTGAATGAATAATTGATGGTTGATTAATGCTATTGTTGGGAAAACAGTCGAGAAATTGTTCAATGTTCACAGTTTCTGTGATTCTACGTGAGATGTGTTCATAGTATTGAATTAGAATTCAGATCATCAAATGAAATAAATGAATAATACTGAAGACTGAATCCTAAAACAATTTCAAATATAGCATCTTTTTTATATTGTACATGATAAAAATATATGATTCACACGATTAGCACAATTTTACAGATGTTTGTAAGCAATTTTAGAAAATAGAACGTTATTATTGTTATTTATCACTTGTATGTAAACAGAATGTACTAGATATAATAAAAACATGTCTATTTGCATGCATTTATCATTTTGTATTCCTATCCTTTATCTCATATGAATTGGTATTATGGATATATTTACAATTTTATATCCTTAAAAAACATGAGATGAGTAATAAAACATCATATGACAGAATTGAATCCATCTAGGATATATTTTATTGGATCAATATTATCATCTGAATTTATAACTAATAAACAGAAGGATTAAACTATCGTTGATTATGTAACTTGAGTGATCTAAGCCGTTTTCATGTTTTATAATTAAATACATCGAGGAAGATTTAGTAAGTAATCAATCCAGTGTTGCTATTGGTATTGTATTCTTAGTAGGGAATAGATGATCATTGGATCTTGGAACATGTTCCTCTAATGAGTTGGGGATTTAGACAAAGCACTGAGTGATTTGTAACTAATTTAGCTCCTATGTGAGTAAAAGAAGCCCTTATTTACTGAGAAAAACAACCAGGCATCAACAAAACAGAAAGTTTATAGGCCACTACTCTAGATAAATCAATGTAAAACAAATTAAAACTAGAAAATAGAAAGTACTCCTCTTGCTAAATCAGTTTTGGCCTCAAAGGGATAGTAAAGGCCTTAAAATATGGAAAATTCACTGATGGAAATCAGAAGTGAATCACTACGTATCATTCTAGAGTAAAGTTGTTTGTAGAATAAGTTGATAGTTGTTAAAAGTGGTGCTGAACTATAGGTTATTGACAATCATTAAAGCAAAGTTTGATCTTTGGTTTTGAAAGTTCCTTAAATCACAAATTTAGTTTTCAGTGTAATAAAACATAGGAAATATACTTTGGAATAATCAAAACCCGTACTCCCAATTCCCATAAATCATCAATAAATTAATGTGGTAATGAACAGATATTAATAACATCAATTCTCATTGGATAAAATGCTTTCATGATTCCTTTTCTGATACAAAACAGATACTATTGTCGAGAATTCTTGGCCCAAAAGATCCCCAAAGCTTCAACAGTTTTAACGCAACATAGACTAACAGTAACATTGTAGAGATGCCAAGATTTAATAATATACTAATTAATTCACTAGGTTAAGTTGAAAAGAATGTTAAGTAGCAGTGGTTTAGCTCAAGACTGATCGAAAAAGTCATACTAAGGAAATAGCTCACCTCTGAGGAAAACAATTAAACAACAAACGAAGCATTCACGATCTTGTAAATGATCATTTAAGGAAACACTAGGTCTTTGGATGGGATTTCAACTACAGTGCTTGACAAATGGTACAATTAATAGAGTTTTACAAAATATGTTAAGTAATAGGTATCAGCTGAGAAAGGGAAATTACAAGAATAGATGTAAGAGTGGAGGTTTCCACTGAAGAAGTTGCAAACTGTACCAAGCTGTGAAAACATACAAACCTTGGAGGTGTGAACCACATGTCTCCAGGAAGTTAGGCTACAACTTTCGTCCAGTGGCTGTATACTGAAGGATATCATATTAGGTATCTAAAGAAACAATCTAACAACCAAGAAGCCTCAAAGGAAAAACAATTTAACACAATTAGCTAAGTTTTCTTGAAAAGGATATCTTAATCAATTGAGTTAGTCCATCATCTAAAAGGAGAGAAGCACATCAAGCAGTGGTCGATATTTCCATCATAGCTAGTTTATCTTGCGATTACCAATAGACACCAGCTATTCAAAATAACATCTATTAGATCTGATGACTTACCATATACTGTATTATTACGGCTTATCGGGAGATAGATTAATTACCATAGGAGATCATTGAAATACTGGTTGTTTACAGAATGTGAATTATAAGACATGCAGAAAGTAATAGGATAAACCTGAATATGAAACAACCACACAGTAGAATTACATAACAAAGTAAGATACAAAACAGCAAGGTGGTAAAACAATAGGTAGATAAATTGAAAAGAATCTCAGAGAATTATTGGCTAAGGTAGAAAATAAAGCAGAAATAACACAAGGATTAGAACAGTAGATAACATAAAAGTAACGGATAACATAGAAATATCAAAATGATAAATACAGGAGAGTTATGTGTACCATGTCCATTGGATTTGTATGGTGTACGAGACAAGTATGCCTGCCCCACAGTACCAATGTATACAACATGTGCTTTATGTAAGTATTTTTATAGAAATTTTTCATGACAAAAAAATTATTTCTACATCTTGTCTTTATGAATTAGTTACTTTATTAACAAGAAGTACTGATAGAAAAGGAAATAATTGTTACTAATATTTTTATAGGCACGTTGCTAATTTCATAATATTTTTTGAAATACAAAAGTATTCTGATTGGAAAGAATATTATTAAATACCAAGCAGCTGGATGTTTTTATATTACAGTCTGTACCTTTTTCCTATGAACCTAACATGCACAACTGTAACATAAGGTGATTCTGGATTATGTCATATCTATTAGTCTGATGCTTGTCATTGTTATTTTGTTATTCTGAGGCTTGTCATGCAACTCTTGTCAAAATTACTCAACTTCAAATTGTAATATCAGCTATTCAGCTATTATCGTTTTAGAGCATTTCTGCAGGTTTATATCAAAGTGGTGGGTCTCATGTATATTTTTGTAACACCCAATGCAATTATGGTTGTGTAAACGTATGTACCCTTTCAAAAATATACATACTGCTTGACCGCTAAAGGTGAGAAATTAATTTGTGAGTTCTATCTTCATTCTCTTTATTTCTATCAGTTTTAACAACTAAGTAACAATCAAACTGAGGGGAGGGTATAATCTACCTGTGCCCCTACCTATGCCTCCACCCTTCCCCAGCGTTATGTACTAACCATGTCCTTAGACACTTATGGTAATACATGAAGTGTGGCAGTATAACATTGATGTTATGAGATCCAGTTACCTCGAGCCCTCTCAAATTGACGCCAGTACAAGCCCTTTGTATTGTTCTACAACATATTTATAGTTTGGATATATTTGTGTCTCAGTAGGTACTCTGGTTTGAAACTGTTGGAGAGTTTGAGTTATAAGGAGATGTTTGAGTTATCTATTTTGAGGACTTTCCATGTCAGACCTTTCTTCCTGTAAATGAAACAAGAGTGTATGTATACTTGAACTTCACTAATTCACCTTTATAGTTAGTTGAATAAAAAAGTTAACTTATAAAATCCAAATGCCTAATGTTACCCTTTCCATCTGTTTGACTTTGCCTCTAAAAAGAGAGCTTCATCTACTATTAGCTAACATTTGCGCTTGGGGTAGCCTAACCCAATTTTGAGGAAGCCTTGGTCAAGATGAACTGTAAGAATTGATGGGGGCATATGCCAATCTGAACTGTCTTAGAGCTGGTCGACCAATTAAAGCATACATTTTTATTATCCCAAGAAATGAAGTTGGATAAACTCAAATAAGAGAAGATGACTTTTTTCATATTTGATGGAAAGATGTAAAGTGTTTTACTGAATTTTTTTCTGTTTGGAATTGGCATTTTGTAGTTTCTATCATGAAGGTGTTCAAAATCAGGAATGATTTGAAAAAATGTGTTCCATTTAACTGTGTGGGATTTGCTTCTCTTTGAAATTTAAGGATATGATGAATATTAAAGTTGAAACTGATAACAAATTATGAAATAGTATTGATTTTTTTTACATAATAACAGTTAAGAAGAATATAGAAACACCAATAAACCATCATCTCTAGCATGCATGATTACGTTTCAAGTTATTAAAATGTCAAGCCAGATTCTGTGTTAATCTCTCTTTATTGACTTTTTGTTCTTGTCACAAACTACTCTCTTAGCAGATCCTAATATGATGAAGTTATTTGCAGTTATACAAACGCAGAAAGATTCATGTTTTTATAGTATCATTATGTACATACTGATCAAATAAATATTTGAATATGTAAAGAGAATCCTGTTTTGTGATCTATAATTGAAAACGTGATAATTAATGATTTGAATACATCCTAAAAGTAGAATCATGTCAAATGTGCAATATGCAACAATAACTCACGATTCACATATCACATTACTTAATGACCGTAAAAAAATTTAATTAAAAGTAATATAAATATATATCTACCTTGAAAAGTTGCTGTAACTTTTATGCTTATGTTTCTTCATTTAGGCCAATGGTTCATATTGCAAATACAGTACATATTAAATTACTGTGAAACCTGTATATTTAATTGCCTCTTTAATCCGAACACCTCTCTTTGTGAATACTTTTTCCTGTTCTCTTTTATGTCACCATCAAAAGTGGTGATATATTGTTAGTCTCCAACTTTTTGTGTTGTTCAGCAGTTGGTGTCTGTTACAAATGGCAGGTGGTGACATTTTGGATGTTTATGCCTTGTTTAATCTGCCACAGATTTCCATTTTGAAAAAAACTGAAATAGGAATACATGCCCAGTCTGAATACTTTTGGTAAGTCCCAAAGGTGTTACATTAATGAATACTTGAATAGCGATGGTGCAGATCCTTGATTATCTGATTATTGAAGATGAAAAATTGAAAATAGCAGTCTCTTATAATCTATTTCACTTATTGATGCACTGGTGTTTATAGAAATGCATACCTGATTGAAAACTTGGGATGATGAATGGATATTACAAATAGAATATTTTGATATGGTTAGACTAACTTTTTAGGTGGAGGTGTTTTACTATATCTAAGTTGGTATTCCGTATCTGAATAAATCATCGGTTACTTGGTAATGTGTCTGGTATGATTTAGATTGAAATTTATGAAGTCAAAAGATCCTCACAATAGATACACTTGCCAGATATTTTACATGATAGGACTTTAAATGATTAAATTTTCTCCTAATCAAAAAAAGTAGATCGTTTGATCATGTTAAACATCTCTATACTCACCGTGCAAATCAGAGGTTGTCGTCCTCTGATGTCATAGCGTTATTTTAAAATGAGCATCCATGTAGCATGTGGTTATTCCCATTCTCTGATTGGTTGAGAAAAGTTTAGTGCAGTAGGTTTGAAATGATTTATGACCCGTGGTATCATGGGCATATGTCGTGGGGGTAGGGCTGGTGGACTGTAATATAGTCTATACTAGGCAGAGTGTAGTTTATAACTAGACTGTTCTCAGGGTAAATACCTACCACTGAGAAACACAATAAGTCATCATCTTTGCCTGTTGTGTTAGTAAGTCTATCACCTAAAATGAAAGTTAAACAATATTATATCATACTGAATTAGACAATTGGTAGGTAGGTCTAATCCAAAGGTTGGGGGATACTCGGAGGATAGTTTGAGTTGTCTTAGGGGTATTTTTTAAAATTAGGCTCATTATCTAGCCAGGATAAAGCTACCAGTTCTTCAACTCGACAATGGGAAGAACTGCTCTACCTTAGTGACTAATATGTCATGATATGACATCTAAAGAGTCAATAAAAGATATATATATATTCATGTAGAGCCACACCATGTAGATTACTTTAACAACATGTTTATATAGAACTTTAAATTATCTAATACAATCAATTTTGCTTTTAAGTTAGAATAGATTGTGTATAATTCCATGTCTTACTAAATATAATAGATAGATATGTCCCATTGTCTACATGTCACCAGAATATGCAACTGTGAAAGAGAGAAGTAAAAAGCTATATCCATTAACGAGATAATTAAAGAGAAAAGCTTATTCTTAGAACTCTTGAAAGCGTTGCTAATAAGTATAGCTACAGTCAAAGTAGTTGTAGCTTCATGTAGACCTTGAGACTAACTAACTAAGAAGGGTCAAGTTCAAAATGTTGCAAGCCTTGTATGATGTTTCAAAATTACCTCTGTGCAGACCTCCAAGTATCTTTATATTTTGGCTTTCATGAGTGTAGGCAATCTTAATAAACAATTCTTTATTCTTTTTTGCATATTTTATTGCATCAACATTTTCAAAGGGAATCATATCTGGAATGGTTAGCTGAATACAAATTAGTCTGGTGATGTATTTTAGGACCCAAAATACAAACCTCATGAGATGATGTATTATTTGTCACTTTAGCGTCTGTATTATTTGTCACTTTAACGTCTGTATTATTTGTCACTTTAATGTATGTATTATTTGTCACTTTAACGTCTGTATTATTTGTCACTTTAATGTCTGTATTATTTGTCACTTTAACGTCTGTATTATTTGTCACTTTAATGTCTGTATTATTTGTCACTTTAATGTCTGTATTATTTGTCACTTTAATGTCTGTATTATTTGTCACTTTAACGTCTGTATTATTTGTCACTTTAATGTCTGTATTATTTGTCACTTTAACGTCTGTGTTATTTGTCACTTTAATGTCTGTATTATTTGTCACTTTAATGTCTACTTCAAATTGAAGTCAGTACCCACAAGGGGCAAAAAGACTCGATGAAGTTATATCTTAGAGAAGAGAATTCAAACTACATTTGTTTATTAAAAAGGGTATGCAATAAGTAAAACTGAAACTTCATAGATAAAGATGATTTCCAGAACTAGGTGATAACAAAGGCACCAGACAGAGAAGATATCCAATTAGTAGTCAGGTGTGGAACAACTGATATAGAGAGATACCACTAACTAACTAGGTCATCATGACTGAATATTGGCCCCTTGTTACATAACCCAATACAGCGTGACCTCTTATCCATTTCAATTGTGATAAATGTGTTTTTTGGTTGCCCTAACACTTCACACCTCTCAACTCTAACAACTCTTGCATTCCTGTATCTTCAGATACATTTACATGTTAATTAAATGTTCCCATTCAGGTTCAGCTGGCCATGCTAAATAACCAAGGGTCAGAGCTTAGTACAACCGGAATTGGGATATTTTCATAAAGAATTTAATTTTTGATAAATCAGAGCCTCATTTTATCTAAGGCTCGGGGGGGGGGGTAATCCCATGGGATAATACAGGGTGTGGATCCCACAGTAAGTATCAGTTAAAGAAACAACCTCAAATTATTGGATAGGGTACCAGGCAAAATGACTGTACTTTATATTGTGGCAAATTCAATGTGATCAAAGGTGTCATTTTTGTATATAGGTGAGGTTGCAATCTTAAAAAGTTAGTATCTTGTAGTTGAATGCTTCTATGAAAGTGTCTAAATAGTGTTGATTTAATGATGAAAGTCAGGACCCCCTTCACTGATTTGTTG